ATCCTTGCTCTGGTGGCCAGAGGGGATCGGTGGCCTAAATTATGCCTAAAAAGCAGCTGAATCGATAGTGACACCAATCAGCCTTTCCCACGGGGTGCTCTGATGGCCCCCCTCACCCCCCATCTGAAATGCCCCCAAAACGGGCATTTCCCCCCCTCCCGTGGCACGGGAGGGCTCCACACGCAGGACAGGGAGGCAGAGGCAGCTCAGGCTGGTTTGGAAGAGGAATTTATTGGCTCGCAAACAGACGGTGGCATCCCTTTGAGCCGGGATTAAAAACCCAGTGTGTACAAAGTCCCAGTCCCTCGGAGAGCGCGAGGGGGGGGGGAAAAACCGACCAGTCCCGGCGTTATGTACAGCGTAAGTGCCAGCTCAGTATTCACAACACAGTAACGTACTGCAAGAAAGTCGCTTTAAAGTAGTTCCCTTGAGAAACAACCTTCCCTCCGGCGGGGCCGGAGTCTGTCCCGGCGGGGCCGGGCCGCGTGCCGGTGTCCGTGTGTCTGTCCGTGTGTCCGTCTCAGTGCCGCTGGCAGGTGTGCAGGCGGGACGCGTCCCCGGGGCCGAGCTCCCGCTGCAGGCGGCACGCCAGGCCCTCGGCACAGTGGCAGCGCTGGAAGATCTCCAGCCCGTGGGAGCCTTTCCGCCGGTGCCGGGTACACACCTGCCCCTCCCGCAGCACCGGCTTGCACATCTTGGACCAGAAGTGGCGGGCGCAGCACAGCCCGGCCGCGCAGTCCGACGAGCGCAGGCACAGGTCGCCCTCCTCGCCTGGGGGGGACAGGGTGGTCAGCGGGGGGACAGGGACAGGGACGGCGGGGAGGGGTGGGGATCGCTCACGGGGGACAGCGGGGTGGGGTGGGCAGCCTGGGCTCCTCCAAGGCGGGCAGCGGGGCAGGAGGAGCGTCCCAGACTGATCCCGAGGGGACGGCAGGCAAGGGTGGGTATCCTGAACTGATCCCGCAGGGGACACTGAGGCAGAGAGGGCATCCCAGACATGGGGGAGGGAGGTTCACGGCGGGCATCCCAGACTGATCCCAAGGGGACAGCAGGGCAGAGTGGGCATCCCAGACTGATTCCACAGGGGACCCTGAGGCAGAGAGGGCAACCTGGACTGAGCCCATAGTGGACAGCAGGGCAGGATGGGCATCTCAGACTGATCCCACGAGGGACAGCAAGGCAGAGTGGGCAACTCAAGCCACCCCTATAGTGGACACTGAGGAAACGACAGTGGGGCAGGGTGGGCATCCTGGAACAATCCCACAGGGGACAGCAGAGCGGGGTGGGCATCCCAGACTGATCCCGTGGGGGGCAGAAAGACAGGATGAGCATCCCAGACTGATCCCACAACGGACAGCAGAACAGGGTGGGCATCCTGGACTGATCCCACAGGGAACAGAGGTGAAGGGTGGATATCCCGGACTGATCCCACAAGGGACAGCAGGGCAGGGTGGGCACCTCCCAGGAGCCTTGGGGTCCAAGCAGCACAGCCCCCCTTACCTTTGGCCGTGGGGATCCAGGCGGGAGCGGGTGTCCGTCGGGGCAGAGCCTCAGTGCCGGGCTCCTCCAGCTCGGCGGCTCCGTGGGGAGGCTCCGGAGGGGTGCAGAGACCTGCGGGGGGCAGTGGGGCGGCTGTCAGCCACGGGCGGGACTCCACCCCCCTCCCACTTCCCTCCTGCGGCCACGTCGAGAGTGCCCCCAGCCCGCAGCCCCCGGCGCTCACCGTTGCTGCAGGTCATGCCGGGGCAGCACATGGCATCGCGCAGGCAGCGCTTGCGGCGCCTCCGGCAGGAGAGGCACAGCGGGGCCCCCCCGCCGCGGGCCGCCCCCCCGCAGAACTCCTCGGGGCCGCAGTCCTCGTCCTCGGCGCACGGGAAAGGCTGGGGGGGCACAGAGGAGGCGGAGGGGGGTCAGCGAGGCCGACACTCCCATCCCCGGGCCGTGTCCCCTCCTCCGTCCCCAGTGTGTCCCCGCTTCATCCCCTGGTCTCCTCCATCCCCGACGTGTCCCACCCCACTTCGTCCCCGGTATGTCCCCGCTCTATCCCGGTGCGTCCCCTCCATCCCCAAGGTGTTCCCCCTACTCAATCGCCGCTGTGTCCCCACTCCATCCCCGGTGCGCCCCCTCTATCCATCTCCTATGTGTCCCCTCCCCTGCCTCCACCCCGGTGCGCCTTCCCTGTCCCTGGTGTCCCTTCCATTCCCGAGGTGTCTCCCCGACTCCTTCCCCGGTGTGTGTGTGTGTGTGTGTCCCACCATCTCCTGTGAGTCCCCTCCATCCACCTCCGCTGTGTCCCGCTCTTCTATCCCCGGTGTGTCCTTCCCCTCCATCGCCGGTGTCCCCCTCTCCACTCCCGATGCCTCTCCCCCCGTCCTCGGTGTCCCCTCCATCCCCGGTGCGTGTCCCGTTTCCTCCGTCCCATGTGGGTACCCCCTCCCTCCATCCCCTGGCCCTGGTGTCCCCTCCATCCTCGGTGTCTCCCCACACCTCAAGTGTTTGTGTGTCCCTCCTCTCCGTCCCAAATGTATCCCTCAACTCCACCCTCGATGCGGTCCCTCTACCCTCGGTGTGTGTCCCCAATCCATCCCCGGTGTCTCCTCTCTCCACCCTCAGTGCGTGTCCCCCATCCGTCCTCGGTGTCCTCCCGTTCCACCCTCTCTGTGTGTCCCCCGTGTCCTCCCGTTCCACCCTCTCTGTGTGTCCCCCGTGTCCTCCCGTTCACCCTCTCTGTGTGTCCCCCATCCATCCCGGTGTCCCCTTTCTGCATCCCCAGTGTGTGATCCCCATCCATCCCGACGTCCCCTCTCCCCACGCTCTCCGTGTGTCCCCTCCATTCCCGGTGTCCCCCCGCTCCATACCCGTTCCTACCTGCCGGGTGGCGGCCGGCGGTGCCTTGTTGCTGCCGTCGAAGGGGGGTGCGGGGGCGGCGCTGGCCTCGGCCCCCCCCGGGGGGGGTCCCTTGATGGCGTTGGAGCTGAGGCCGCCCCCGGGAGCCGCCGCCCGCCCCGCCGGGGCCGCGCAGCTCAGCGCCGCCAGCAGCGCCACCAGCCCGCGCATCCTGGTGCCCGCCGTGCCCTCCCGTGCCCGCGGTGGCCCCGAGCAGCGGCTCCCTGCGCTCCTCCGCCGCCTTTATACCCCCGGGGCCGCGTCCTGCCCGCCCCCTCGGGGCGGGGGGCCCGCCGGCTGGGATTTCAAAGGCTTCCCGAGGGGGGGGCTGTGCCCACGAGCCCCCAAAACCGCCCCCACCCCGCCCCGAGGGCTCCGACATTGGTCGGGAGGGGGTTTCGCAACGGCGAGGGCAGGACCCCCCCCCTCTTTCCCACCCCCCGCCCCTGTTCCCGGCCAGATGCTCCACACGCCCCGACGCCGCCGCTGTCTCCAGCCGGGCGCGCGCGACGGAGGGACCGGGAATGGGTGAAAGGGGGGGACTCCCCCTCATGCAACCCCCCCATGGTGGGTGGGAGCCGCGGTGGGTGCAGAGAGTCCCCCCCCGCTCTCCCCCGATGTCACAGTCGCTCCTTTGGTCTCCTCTAAGTCTCCCCCCCCACCTCCCCCGCGTCCTTCCTGGCGCCAGCGCAGCCTCGCAGGAAGGGAGAGGGGCTGCTGCGCACCCCCCGCCCCGGGGGGGGGTGTGGGGACACCGGGGGGACACACGGCAGGACCCTCGCCGTCCTCCTCCATTCCTCTGACCCCAGCTGGGCGGGGAGGGGGAGCTCCGGGCCCTTTGATGCGGGGACATCAAAGGGGTCGCTTCCCTATTCCCTCCCCATTCCTCCCCATTCCCCCCCGACGCCCTCGAGGCGCCGCCGCCCCCCCCAGCCCCCTCCAAACCCCCCCAGACCCGCGCAACCCCCCCAAAGCCCCCCTAAACCCCAAAACTCCCAAAGCCCCTAAACCCCCAAGCCCCCCTAACCCCCCTCCTAAATCCCAATCCCCCCCAAACCTCCCCTTGGCCCCCCCACGCCCCCAAACCCCCCAACCCCCCCCGTCGGGGCAGCGCGTCCCCAGCGCTCCCCCTGCCGGCCCCGCCGGGGCATCGCTCCACACCCCGCACCGCTAATTAACCCCCGTCAATTAATTAACCCGGCTTTGCCCGGCGGCGGCCTCGCGCTCCCGCTTATTTATTTTCCGAGGGTGGCTTGAATGAAAATACGGGCGAAGAGCCCGAGCGGTGCCCCCGCCCGGCTAAAACCCGCGGGGGCGAGGAGGGGGTGAATTCCAGCCGCCGCAATTCCCTGCCATGAAGCCCCGCTCTCCCGGTATTCCCTATCAGCTGTTCCAGGTCCAGATGACTCCAGCCGGGCTAATAATTGCCCGGGAAGGTTTCGGCGAGCACCGTGGGCAGGTGCCGTCGGAAGCGGGGGGGCTGAGTCACGGCACCCCCGGCACAGCCCGGCCATCCCTGCCTTCCCTATTTTTAGCCTGGGAGAAGGAGGGCCACGCCTCGGCCCGAAATCCCGGTGTTCCCCCGGCAGTTTCAGGTGAGGGCCACGTCACCCCGCGGTTTTTATTGCCCGATTAACTTGGACTGCGATTGCTGCATCCCGCAGAACGGTTTGGGACGTTTCCCAGCTCCTCCTTAGGCAGTTACCACATTTATTTCCCTCCTGGGAGGATGTTTTCTTGCTCCTTTGCCCAGGTTTTGCTCACCTGTGTGTCATGGACTCGACATGACCTTCCACTCTCCCAGGTTGCTCCAACCCGGCCTTGGACACTTCTCTGGGCAACCAGTTTTTTTGACGGCGGTGTTGTTTTGAGTCACATCCTCTCCAGGGATGACACAACTCGTGTTGGGAACACGGTGCCTTCCCTGGACTCAAAATACAAAGGGAATTCTTCATCCCTGAGGATGAGCCATGTTCACAGGATAGTTTGGGTAGGAAGTGAGCTGTGGGGGTCACCTGGCCAGAGCAGGACCCCCACCACCCCAGTTTAATCCCTGAGCAGCAGAACTCTCCCAGACTCAGCCTGGGCTGCGGAAGGAAACCCTTGACACGTTGTTCAAAAGTAATTATTTTTATTTCAACTCTATAAAGTATACAACAGGCACTCGGCAATTACAGCTGCAGGGAAAGTACAGAGCCAAACAAAAGCAGTTAAAGTTTATGAAAAAAAACCCCAAAGTTCTTCAGTCAACATCAAAAGAGTGCAAGCGGCCACCGAGCGGGGGGGGGTGACCGACATCTGTCCGACAAACAAAACCTCTCCCGTGGAAGAAGAAAGCTGGGGGAAATAAGGATACAAACCAAAGGGATGGTGTAAAAACCAGCATAAGCCGGGGTCGGGGTGAGAGGGAATTTCCCCTTTTGCTGAGAAAGCCCTCAAGGCGCCCAAGTCTCGGTGTCAGGGCTGGGGAGCTGCGGATTGAGGAGCTTCCAGCTTGGCAGCTCCGCGGGAGCACCGAGGGCTCGTCCGGGCGGTGGCTGCGGACGGAGGGGACCGGGGAGGGGAAAGCACTGTTTTGTTGAGTGGTGCAAACGAGCTGCGCCTTTGCCTCGGGGTTTTAGGGCAAAAAAAAAAAAAAAAAAAAAAAGGCAGGCTGGGTTTACAGCGAGTGGATTTTTTTCCAGGTGGGAGATTCCTCGAGGGGGGGGGCGTGTAAGACGGGACGGCACGATGGGTGGGATCTGCAGGGCTCGGCGGAACAGGAATACCTGTCTACGGACTGCTAGGACGTCAGAGAGGAATTCGACCCGCACATAAACATTTATACATTTCACAGAAATGACTCTGTATCTCATTAACAGATACACAGCTCTGGTACATTGAACAGAAATAAGAGAACGACTTCATCATTTCTGTAATTCGTCAGTTTTAGATAATAAAGGCTTAGAAACCGGTCGCAAGAAAGAACTGTAAAACGCAGCAAGCTAAGAAAGGACGACAGTTTGAGGTGTGTTTGTCTTTGTCATGCAGCATAACACCAAATTTGTCATTTTTTTTTTTTTATAAGATGCCATGGATTTAAGGCACTTGCAACAATGCCAGATAGCTAGTCATGTTCTCAAACTATGGGACGGATGAGTTAACAGGACAGTTGACATAAAGTTTAATAATACTGACAAATATGACATTAATTCAAGTCTACCTTGAGCTAAAAACATTACATTACAAATAAGGAAATGAAGGAATAATGCCATGGGGCTGGAAAAAGAACAAAAAGTTCAATGTGTACCACAAAATACCGACACGAAAATACCTATTTACAGAAATAGTCGCTCGTGGTCCTGTTGGTAAAGAAGAGTTTGCTGTGGGAAATGCAGCGCTGGGAGAAGCTACGGATCAGCCATGTGGTCATGACACCAATCAACACCCTGCTCTGAAATATGGGAGCTGATTTCAGCTGGAATATGGGAGCCTAAATACACCCTCCTCCCATAGATTAGGGAAGGAGACAAAGAAATAAGGACACAAAGTGGAAACACAGAGGCAATGCCTTGTTGTGAATATATATATATATATATAAAGCAACTTAAATATATTATTATAAATGAAGGCTTTTATCATATACATAGTGTGGTGTTAATGCTTGGGAGAGGTGATGGGAGTCGAGTGAGGGGTTTGATATCAAAATAAACTCATATTCAGTACAGGTATTGATTCCTGTGCTTGGCACAGGGAAAAAGGGACGGGAAAAAGAAAAAGAGCCCATTTCAAACCCTCCTTCCTGTCGTGTTTTCAGGTTGCCCCCCAAATCCTCGTGGTGCTTTTGCCACCCAGCAACCCCTTGCCTGCCACAGCACGAGTGTCATCGTTTTGGGACAAACTCCTCTCTACGTTCCTACAGAAAGTTCTCCTTGTTGAGTGAAACTCCAGGGGGGTGTGAGTGAAGAATTTGGCTGCTAGGCCTGTTCTCTCAGATGCCTGGTGGATATTTTAGCCCTAGTGCTCAGCCTTGGCTCTCAGGGTCGTCCATCCCTCAGATAAAGGTGGAAAAGCCAGGAGCTACTGCCTTTTCCCGGCAGTTTGGAAGGCAGACAAAGTTCCAATGATTAAAGAACAGCAGAAATAGCCTGAAGTGACTGTGCCAGCTCTGCTGCCTCACCCTCTGGAAAACAGGGAAGGAAATCCTGTGCCACAGACTGGTTCCAAAGGTGAGCCAGCTCATGTCTGCTGGCAAACAGCAGGACACGGTCCACGCTGTCAAACAATACACTCTGTGAAGTTGCTTTCATCAGAAACATGGGAAAGAGTTGGGATTTAGCATCAGGGAAATAATATTTTACTGTTAAAACAGACATTTTCCACGGAGTATGTGGGCAAAAGTCCTTCTCAGCAAGAGCTGCTCTCCCCACTCTCAGCTCCGGGCAGCGCTGAGATGAAACGGGGCAGCACCTGCTCACCCATGGCAGGGCTTGGAATGACAGGGTCTTTAGGTTCCCTTCCAATCCAAAACTATTCCATTATTCTATGATGCTATGATTTTTTGAGGTCCTAGAGAGACCGAAACCTGATGGGTTTTGTTGGATAACGGGATACTTGAAGTCAACAAACGGGCATCCAGGACGGAATTATGGCCTATAAATCAGAGGAGACTGTATTCAAGCAAAGGAAAAGCAGTGGAAGTCAGGGAAAAGCATATCCTGATACTGTTTTCCCCAGGTTGTTTTTCCACACGATGACTGTGGCCATTACAGTGCCCTAAATGTGATCATCGGGGAACTCGCGCCGGTGACACGGAGACCTTGCACAAATACATCCAATATCGCTTTTCCATTTAATTCCATGGACTTCCCTTAGCCCGGAGAGGCATCAGGATTCCATTTTTACAGGCAATATTACACCAGAGCCAGCAAACTGGCCCAGTACTTGGCTTTTAATGAGCTCTGCACTAAACACGGAGGAGATGGAGACATGGAGACGTGGGATCATCCAAGAGCGACGGAGAACGAAGCCTCTTGCTACATATCTCTCAAAAGGTGGTTGAGTGACCAGGTGAGGGATGGACATAGCACCTAAAAAGGACATTACAGGTCTTATGTTTTCCCTTTGGGTTCTGAAGAGGTCAAAGTCGAGCTTAATTTTATGCCTAAATCGACAAGACCAGTGGGCTGCTGCCGCCTTGTTACAGGACCGTGATCCAAGCACTGTTTTATATGTCAAACAGATTAGTTTCCTGATTTTTGTTTTCATTCAGGGATGTATTTGTACCAAGGGAAAGGAAAAACAAACCCCAAAGGTGGTGTTGCAGCGTGAGAGAAATGACCCATATCTGCCTTCACAGGATCTCGAGCAGTTGTGCTTTTGTTCTACCAGGCTCAACAAAAAAAAAACTCTCCAAACCAAAGAGGAAAGGTAACATTCAGTCTTGTTGTGGTTCTGCTCAGAAAGGAAAAGGACACATTTCACCACTGCTTTGACATGAACTCTTTGGCCGGGCCCGCCGTGGCCTCCTCCGCTCCGACACTGGGAGGGAGCCCTGCGGAGCTGGGAGGGTGGGAATAGCCCAAATCCTGCACTGTATTTGGCTACAGCACTGAATAAATTACTACTGATCCTACTGATAAAGCCAGTACCTCGCAGCTACAATTGGGTGTGTCTTACACAATGTATCTCCTGACCTTGATAATTAAGAGCGTAGCAAGACCTCGGCGGTGACAGAAAACATGTTTCTCTACCGGTGAAAGGCTCTGTGTCAGGACCACCATGTCAACCCCCAGGTTGTGTTCGAACAGAAAACATGAAGAGCACTATTGTCATCTAAGCAGTAAGTCCTAATGCCACTGGAGTTCCTGTAGCAGCATCAATCAAGGCATCATGGTGACCCCGAGCACGAATCCTCCCCAGTTCCGTTCTCTCGGTTTCGCTGGCAGCCACGTCCCAGGAAAGCTGTCCTCAGCAAGGCAGAAGCAGGTAAGAGAAAGACATTAAAAATCTATGTCCCATCCTGAGTTGTCGTCAGGGGGTGGCTCGTCACTGTCCTCCGGGAAGCTGTCGAAGTTGCTCGTGTCCGTTGGAGATGCGACCTGCGGGAAGGGCGACAAGGGGTGGACATCAGGGGGATGGACATCAGGGGGATGGACATCAAAGGGGATGGTCATCAAGGGGATGGTCATCAAGGGGATGGCCATCAAATGGGACCTCTGCAGGCAGGCCCCCCTCATCTCACAGCCGTGATCATTCAGGAGCACCCACTGCTGCCTGTGACAAGCCAGGGAAGGGCTGCATCCCACACCCAGGAGGATTCCCACTGCCTCCCCACCCTCCTGATCCACGCCCCCTGGGGTTCAAGAGCAGCTGTCCCACCCCTTGGCACAAGGTCATCAGGAAAGACTTGGAAAAGCCTCCCCAACGCCCAGGATTTCCCAGTTACGTCTCCAGGATCCTGCCTTTACATTTCCTGACAAGTGTTGCTCAGCCTAAGGATCCTACTAGAGAAAACCATCTTTCCCAGGATAAGGCCAACCATGTTTTTCTTTTGGAAATAAGGCCAACCACATTTCTTTCTTGGAAATAATGTCATTTATCTACCATAGCTAGATATTTGCTTTTTTTTCTTTTTTTTTTCTTTGCTTTACAATAGTGAGGGAACCTTTCTTACAATGAGACCTTGACACAGTGAATTCAGTTTAAAAAAATAAAGAATGCAAGAACAGAGCAGCAGCTCTCCAGCCCAAAATGGGGAGTGTCTTACTAGAAATGGGGTACTTTAAGCCTTACCCCAAGCAGGCAGAGCAGGCTGGAGGGGACTGCACAGCCACAGGAGAGCTGGGAAGGAAATCCTGCAATTTTTAGCCATTTCACTTGTGTGGAAAAGCCAAAGTCAGAGGCCAACTGACAGTCACAGAGTCATGGAATGGTTTGGGATGGAAGGGACCTCAAAGACCATCCAGTCCCACCCCCTGCCATGGGCAGGGACACCTCCCACCAGCCCAGGTTGCTCCAAGCTGCCCAACCTGGCCTTGGACACTTCCAGGGACCCAGGGGCAGCCACAGCTTCTCTGGGCAACCTGTGCCAGGGCCTCCCCACCCTCACAGGGTGTCCTGTCACTCCAGAACCTTGGAAATAGTCTCTCTCCATCTTTCCTGCAGGCCCCTTCAGGCCCTGGAAGGCCATAATTAGGTCACCCAAAGCTTCTCCTCTCCAGGCTGTGCTATTGAGGCTCAGCAGTGTCCTGGCAGCAGGTTGTAAATTGGGATCTTTCCAAAAATCCCACGGAATAAGAGCTCAGGAGCAGCTTTGGATTGCCTCACTGGTAGTGCCATGTAACTAATGAGAGTTAAAGAGCTGGGAAAAGCCTTTTTCTTCCAAAAAAAATTAGCTAATCTGCATGTTCAGCCCTGCTGGCTCCTTCCCAGCCACGTAGGAGAGGTGGATTAAAAAAGGGAAAATGGATGTGTCCCCATAAAAGTGGGTATTTTGGGTCCCTTTTCAGATGTGGCTCTTACTGGCAGTTGGGACTTTGCCAAAAAACTTGTGGAAAACAAGGTGGAGAGGGACTGATGGCTCTGGGGTTGACAAGAGATTGTCACCAGCCCCATGAACCTTCAGTCTATATGGGGTAAGAGCAGTGTTGGAAATGCCCTTACTAAGAGAAAAATCCACTAAAACCAGCCAGAAAAACACGCTGGGGCATTTCCCAGGCTGCACAGATAAAGCAGGGATTGCAACTGGATGTAAAGGAGCAAACTTGACTTCATGGTCTGACAAGAAATGTGGTGAACAGTGTGTGCTGCTTAATTAATAGGCAGTAAAAAGAAGCCAAGGCCAGGCTGGACGGGGCTTGGAGCAACCTGGACTAGTGGAAGGTGTCCCTGGAATAAGATGGGATTTGAGGTCCCTTTCAACCCAAACCATTCCAGGACTTTAGAATGAGCTTAACAAGAAAGAAACCAAACCAACCAAACCCAGCTTTGACTTATAAAACACAAATGTGTTGTTTGGTCCCTCTGCTGCAGGGACACGTAAGTCCTGCTTTCTCCCACCAGTAACTCCCGCGGCCCACGGGGCAAAACAGGGGGATGGGAAACCCCCTTGATCTTTGCTGGCTGCTAAGAAAACGTTGGGATGGCAGATTTAGCCCTGGAGCTGTGGCTGTGCTGCTGCAGGGGTTGCAGCAGGGAGCAGGGGGTGCAATTAAACCCGGTTGCTAATGTCATTCCGGGTGATCCCGCGGGAGAGGCGCGCACAGAGAGGGATTAAGCCGAAACAAGGAGGGGAGGCTGCAGGACAGAAGGGGCCAAGGTAATTTCTATCAGCTAATCCTGTTTGGTTTCCCTTTGCAGCTGGCTTTGTGGGGAGAGAGCTCACAAAGACATCAAAGGAAGAGCTTTGCTCCAAAGCAAAATGAGCGGAGCTGTCCCTGCCCGGCTGCTCCCGGTTAAACATAAACTAGGCCGGAACGGGGCTTTTCATGGAGGATGGGGATGCAGGGAAAAAAGGGTGAGGAGCACAAAAGACAAGACAGAAGGAAGGGTTAAGGCAAAAGAAAAGGGAGATGGCACACAAATCCCACTTGTCTTTCCAAAAGAAGAATAGAGGAGAAGGGAAGAGGACACGTCTGAGGGAAGGGGGGAAAGGGGCAGCTCTGCACCGAAATGGGAAAAGGAGATGGAGAAACAAGTGGAGCAGGTGAGAAAGAGAAAAATGTGTAGGAGTGAGTGATGCTGCCCTGACCTCCTGCTGCCAAGGGCACTTTGTATGGCCATACCCTGCCCAAACTGCCTTCTCCTGGAAGAGCCTGCCCAGAGACCAAGCTGAGCTGGGAATGTGTCCAACGGGACTCCTTCAAGCATCTTCAGAAGAAATGAAGCACATGCTGTTCCCACTGAACCACTGCCTGAAGCTCACAACATTCCTGAGGGAACTCAGTGGTGATGAAGGAGAAAACAATGAACTTACACTTGGTATTATGGGAGGAGTCAGTGTCCCTTTCCGTAACCCTTCCCAGTTAAAGCCTTCGAACCATCTGAAGGGAGGGAAAAAATCCAGCAGTTACACATTTGTAGCACAGAAAGAAATGTCAGTTGTTTAAACAGTGGGTTTCATCTCCCACACATGTCACCCTCAGATCCTTTGGAATTTTTCCTGTCATCTCTGTATCTGTTTTTTTGGGACTGGAAAGGAAACGTGGGCAGTGGTGATCCCAAATCCCCAACACTCAGGAGAGAGCCCTTCCTCACTGCAGGTGTCCTGGAAGCTGCTCCTTCCCTGCAGTATGAGACCCCAAAATGTCCTTTTTTCATATGAAATTAGCTCCCAGCTTAAACATCCACTTCATCCATTCCTGTGCCTTTGGGGCTGGAGGAGAGAAGGTCCAGCATGGATGGATGAGAGAACCTGTTTCTGGAATGGGTGATTATCCCATTCCAGCAGAGTGAAAACTCCCAAGACATCACTTAATGACTCCCATGGGACCAAAAGGGATGAAGAATTTACATCATGGATAGAAAGGGGTTTTTAGCAGGACATTGAAATGCCTGTTGCTGTGGGTTGGATCTGCTGGCTGGTGGAGAAGACACTCACTTGTGCTTTTGGATATCTTTCACGCCGTTTTTCAAGTTCCCTAATCTTTCTGATGGATTGTCCCTACAAAAGGAATAACAAAGCAGTTATTTCCTTAATCCTGAACAACTGATTTCTTTGCACACAACATCAAGGTGATTATATTTCATCCACTTACCTGCATAGTTTTTTAATTAAATTAGCAGCATTTTTGGCAATCTTCTTTGGAAATTCAATCATGTCTATTCCCCTTAATATGATGTTATAGGTCTTCATGGGGTCTGGGCCTGAGAAGGGGGGACTTTAGAGGGGAGAGGGAAATAAAGATTAAAAGCTTGTCTTTAAAATAGCACTGAAGACTGATAAAATATATATACAGATGAGAAAAGGTAGGTGACAACTAGCAATGCCTTGGTCTTAACCATTTCTCAGCCAAGGAGCTCTGGATTTCAGGGATGGAAGTACCAAGGGGAAAAGTTTTCCAGAGCAACACGTGTTAAACCTCTTCTTTCCATGGCAGCCCAAGGAAGGGGGCTCTGACCAACACTCACTGGCTAATTCTCTGTTTGATGCTGTGACATGATTTAGGTGGGGATTAACTGGGCTCCCACCCAGCAGGGACTTGGCTCCAGCCCTGAAGGACAAGCAGGGTGAGGTGATGGATCCTCTCCCAGCTCCCGTATCCTGGAAGTGAGCGACGGGGACGAGCTGAGAACTTCCAGGGAGCCCACGCTGCCCACAGCAGCTGTAACAGCCAACACTAATGTGCAAAGCTAAACAAGGCACGGGCTGGATACAGGGACCCACATCCCCACAGTGCCCAGTCCACCTCCTCCTCTTCCTCAGCTGAGAGCAAACCCTTTCTCTTTCCCCACCAGGGCCCAAAATGACCGATTTGAAGTGGAAAAGCAGCTGGTGAGGTCCAGCCCAGCACATGCCAGCCCTGAACCTGCCCCGGCCTAATCAGGGTGACACCAGCACAAACAGTGGGATGTGTTCCCAGCCCCGATGCCCATACCTGCCAGTCAGGAGCTCATACATTAGGATTCCCAGTGACCAGTAGTCTGCTGAAATGTCGTGACCTTTGTTCAGGATGATCTCGGGGGCCACGTACTCCGGGGTGCCACAAAAAGTCCATGTTTTCTTTCCAAATCCTATTTTCTTTGCAAAGCCAAAATCGACCTGGGGAAAGGGGCAGAGGGACGTCAGGGCAGGGCATGAGAGGGAATGTCAGGCCTGTGCTCTGCTCCTCTTGAAGTGAAGCAAGGCAGAAAGCAGGTTTCCTCGGGGGAATTTTCTCCCAGTTAAAGCACTGTGGGTTGTTCCAGGAGCAGGCAACCACAGGGACCTTTTTGCTGATTTGTCCTTGTAATGGAAAAGGAAAGTTCTCACAAGAGAAGAACAAACACCAGCACTGAGGGTTTCCTGGGAGTTGTAACTTCCTGTCACTCACAGCTCAGGTTGATTTATTTTGCTTTTGGTTCTCTTTTAAATTCCCACCCATAGCCTGAGCAAGGAATAATTTTAAATTACCAGAGAGCCAGGACAGATGGGATATTGGGAAGAAATTCTTCCCTGTGAGGGTGGCAAGGCATAGGTTGCCCAGAGAAGCTGTGGCTGCCCCTGGATCCCTGGAAGTGTCCAAGGCCAGGTTGGACGGGGCTTGGAGCAACCTGGGCTAGTGGGAGGTGTCCCTGCCTATGGCAGGGGTGGGACTGGATGGTCTTTGAGGTCCCTTCCAATCCAATCCAAACCATTCCATGATTCCATGATTTAGGCTCAACACTGGCCTTTTTAGCATCTACTGCCAAGTTCTCTTTTGGATGCAGTCCAAGTGTCCTCCCAGGTTGCTGGAGGCTGTTGGGATGTGCTGGTGGGCTCACAAACCTCAGAATGCCGCTGGCAAGCATGAAAAATCCGATTACACTGGGAAGGGAAGCCCTCTGGGGCCTGGGCAGAGCTCAGGGTAACTGTCCCACTGCATTCCCAGCTGTCCCCCTGCCCTCGGTGCCCTGCTGGCCCACAGCCATGGGCTGTAGCCCACTCTGCTGGCCCTGGGGGGCTCTGAGATGCTCCTACACCTTGTGCTGCTCAGGAGCTCACATGGTCACGGCCCCACAAGGGATCTGGAACACTTGTGCCATCCTGGATGTGGGTCAGGGAGATCAAAATGTCTCAGGAGCTGGGGGCTGGTGATGGGACCAGTAGAGATCCAGGTCCAGATCTTCCTGGGGTGGGGAGAAGGGCAGTCTTGCATCTAATCCCCCTGAGTTATCCTCTGTCATCCAACACCTCGCTGTCCCCTGTCCCACACACGCTTGACCCCAACTATTTTCAAGCCCTTTCAGTCCCTCAGTAGCTCCCAAACAGCTGGGTGGGTTTCTCCCCGTGCTCTTTCCTAAACATTTCGGGAGCACAGATCTGAACTTCCAGCCGGAATCAGCACTTCCCAGCCCAACCCTGAGCCCTGCTGGAGGCTGGGAAAACACCCTTGTCCTGATCCCATCTCAGCACCTACTGCTGGCCACCCCCAGAGGCAGGACCCTGGCCTGGGGGGGTTCTTCTTGTGACCTGTGTCCCCTCTGCCCTGACACCTCCCGGGACTCTTTTTGGGATGCTGCAGGAACTCACCAGTTTGGCATAACCTCGGTGATCCAGAATGAGGTTTTCTGGCTTGAGGTCCCTGTAAATGATCCCTTTGGAATGCAAATAGGCAAAAGCTTCCACCACACACGCCGTGTAAAACCTGGTCGTGGAGTCCTCAAACGAACCTCTGTGCAGGGAATGAGGGAGGGAAAAGGGATAAAGCCATTAGATGAATCCCTGGGAAGTGCATCCCTCCCATGTGGACTTCACTCTTTATATCAAAATACACAAATGATAAAATATCTATAAATATGATAAAATACCTATAAAATATCTATACTGTTCAGTAGAATCACTCTAATGCCTGGGAAATGCCTGTTGCTCAACTCACCTTTATATATCAATTTATATATCAATTTAATTCATATCCATTAATATAATAATAATTTGATTAATATCCATTTTTGAAGTTAACATCTTTGCCTTCAACCCACCTTCACATCTTAAAATACTTCGGGTTCTTTCTAGAATTAATTTCTATAATTAGCAATACAATTAATATTAAATCTTGGGGCTTATTCTGCAATTTAGAAATCAAAACTTACAAATCATTATCTTGCAGGCAAAAGGTGTATTTTTTTTAATTGCAATCTTTGGCTTTTGGGTGTTCAAGCCATTTTGAGTCATGGAGATGAAGAAGTCCTGTATTAATGTTCCCAATGGAGACAAAAGGCAGAAGGATCACAGCTGCTGGGACTCAGCTGCAAGTTCAGCATAAACTGCACTTCTGGATCTTTGTTTCAGCACCAGTTTGCAACCAGTTTTCCAAGGAAAACCATGTCCCTCTGCCTGCTGGGAGCTGGCTGAGCTCAGGAGCCAGTCTAAGCTAGGTGGCAGCAGAAGCCCAGCTTAAATCCCGGAGAATTAAAGATGGAATTATCAGGCTCTGACAAAAGGACGTGACAAATCCAACCCACCACCTCCTAACTTTGCTACAGTCCTTGCTTCAGTGGTCCAGAGAAGGCTGCTGGGAAAAGGAAAAACTACAAAAAAATTTGTTCTAGGGGATTAAAAGAGAATTTAACCTTTGCTTTCCCAGCAATCTCTCCGAATTTAATTCCATGATGTTCCAATTACACAGTTACAACTCCCTGCAGCTTTTCTTGCCCCACATGCACCCACCACCCACCCCAAATGCTCCAAGGTCAAATCCTTCCAAATCATTCCAAGGGAATGCCAGGACCACGTTTGCTTGGCCATTGCAGCCTGGGATGTAATTACATGCTTTCCTAACTATTTTTTTCCCACAGCACTTCTGCATCCTGATGGAATAGTGCTCCTGGCAGGGTGTGGATTTGATGCAGGATTCTGCTTCCCAGTGGTCCTGGTGCAATGCTATGGGATATCTGTGCTACCAGCACATGCACAACTCTTGATCTCCTCCCACTCACTGCTGTTGGACCCAACTGGGCCAGAAACACGGGGGAATATCAACAGGAATTATTGCTCACAGTGTCCCTGTGGCAGAGGTGGATGTTGCTATTCCCAGTCACAGAGGGTGGGTAGAGGAGCAAACACAGGGATGAAAACACCTCTGGGATGGGAAACTGTGATTTAAGAACTGTACCATCAGAAGGACGTGGAGCTGCTGGAGCGAGTCCAGAGGGGACACGGAGATGCTCCCAGGGCTCCCCTCTGCTCTGGAGCCAGGCTGGGAGAGCTGGGGGGGTTCACCTGGAGAAGGCTCCAGGGAGAGCTGAGAGCCCCTTCCAGGGCCTAAAGGGGCTCCAGGAGAGCTGGAGAGGGACTGGGGACAAGGGATAGAGGGACAGGACAAGGGGAATGGCTTCCCACTGCCAGAGGGCAGGGTTAGATGGGATATTGGGAAGGAATTGTTCCCTGGGAGGGTGGGGAGGCCCTGGCACAGGTTGCCCAGAGAAGCTGTGGCTGCCCCTGGATCCCTGGAAGTGTCCAAGGCCAGGTTGAACGGGGCTTGGAGCAACCTGGGCTGGTGGAAGGTGTCCCTGCCCATGGCAGGGGGTGGCACTGGATGAGCTTTAAGGTCCCTTCCAACCCAATCCATTCCATGATTCCATGATATCAGAAAGCATTCCAATTTGTAGGACCACAGTTTCCTCCAACTCACCTGTCCCTGAGAATTGTCCAGAGCTCTCCCCCCAGACAGGCTTCCATCAGCATGTACAGGTACTTGCTGTCCTTGAATGTCCTGTAGAGCCTGGTGGTGCCAAAGCAGAAAATCCCAAAGAAATCCGTTACCCAAGTGTTCCCACTTCCAGGCCTGGTTAATGGCTGGACTGGGTTAATGGGTGATCTTGGAGGTCTTTTCCAACCCAAACAAATCTGTTGTTCTAGGATTCATCCCAGGACTTTTTGCCTAGAGAATATTAATTCCTAGATAATTCTTCCTGTGCGTCACTACTCAGATAAAATTTGGCTTTAAACCCCCAGAGTCTGAATCAGCTCCAGTACTGGGCAATACTGATTTCCGGGGTAGCACTCACCAGTGTTTCAGCTCTTTCCTTACTCTGGTATTGTTATTTTATATTATTATCTCCTTGCTCTGTGTTGACATTGAAAACCTGAGTTATAACATGACCATTATATGTAATTCTGTATATTATATATATGTATTCTGTATATATTATACAGAGCACATATTATATATCACATATTATATATGTATCCTGTGTGTGCATATATATATATATATATGTATATATACAAAAAATCAAAGGTCAGCTATAACTGAGCATTACATAAGGTTAAAATTTATGGGTTTAACAAAAAAAAACACCAAACCACACTTACTTCTTACCAGTTGGCCAAAATATAACTTATCTTAATAAACATTTCAGCTACATGAAGGTTTACAGAAACCTTCAAGAATCCAAAATGTGAGTAACCACGTATTTTTAATTGCTTGGTAATTTAAATGCTGCTGAAAGACTTGCTCTAGCTAAGAAAGACCTGCTTGGCAGAAAATTTTCCAGGGATCAAATCTGGCCTAAAATGTGCAGATGAAAAAATAATCAAATATTATTTATCAACTGTCATGGAAGCCTAAAGTTTATACAGGATAAAAGGGCATTATATGGGCAGATTAAACAGCCTCCAGTTGTAAATGTCACCATATCTGAATGCCTTTTTTATTTATTTTATTTATATATTTTATTATTTATTTCCCTACTCACCTCAATATTTGAGTTTATCTATGAGTCAATTTTATTTAGTGCTGCTTGGCCTCTTCTGGTTTAATACATTTTCATAACCAAACAGAACCTGTTCATCAAAGATTTTTTAATGAACAGTTTCATGATGAATTAAGAAAACAGTCAAGTTCTCTGGGAATTTTGTCTTTCCTGTTTTGGTATTCCTGATGTCCTTGCTCTAAGATCATTTTAAACCCCCCTTTCACCCACTATCTCCAAACTCAGTTAATCTATTGAGGTGTTCAAATTTGTGCCCACAGCACCTGGAAAAATATGATCCCACCTGGCCCAAGAAGGGGAATGAGTAGGTTGTAAAGAATTTTGGGATAAAAATCACAGGACAACTTCAAATCCCCCTGGATGTGCAAAAGGAGGAGTGAGGGGGGAAAAGCAGACACTGAGTTTGATAAACCAGGTATTTTTTAGCAAGAGGAAAAGGTTGGACTTTATGACTTAGAAAATTCCTTCCCAGTGAAGGGTTTCCATGGGGCATTAAATATAGTTCAGGGAGGGTTGTTCCTGTAAAGGGTGGGAATTACTGCGGGATATGGGAAGAGAAGACCTCCAGCTGACACCTCCTTGTTTTCCTTGCCTGCTGAAAGGGTGAGAAGTGGGAATGAAGGAGGATTTCATTTATTAGCCATGAAGATCAGTGGCTCCATTAGGAAACGTTTGCAGGCTCAGGCTTTATTTAGGAAGGGTATTTCTGGCAATGGTGGCAACTGTCCCTCTGCTTGGACACCTTCCTTTCCATCCCCATCCCGACACAGCTCAGGCTTCCGAAAATCAATCCAGAGGCTGAAATAGCCCCGGGGTATGTTTGGCTCCGGCCTAGGGAACGGGAGCATGTTTGGGAATCCAACACCAGAGCCCAAAGGGTGTCACCCTGCAGTTGTCCCCCATGAATCAGAGCTGAAGTCATGGGCTCTGGGGGAATCCCAGGGATCAGCCTGGGAAGGAAACACCCCCTCAGTGACCGATGGGTACCACGTGCTTCCCTCTGCATTTATCCAGGGCTTTGTCTGGGGCAAAATTTGGGAGCGGGTTTGAGCTCCTCCAGCAAAAGGCAAGTGTTTGAGGCATCTCTGAGGGTGGGATGAAGAACCCTTGGCTTAGGTGCCCTTTCAGGTGGGTCCAGCTCAGTGACACACCAGAGCTCCTCACCACCCACTGCTCTTACCCTGAGCTCTCCTTCCTGCTGACAGACACTCCCAGTCCTTGAGGAGCCAGGGAACAACAACCAAAAATGCCTGGCACCTGATTTCATTCCCTGAAGAACCACATCTGCTTAGGGTTGGGACAGGGATTCTCCCCTGTGAGGGGGGACAGGTTGCCCAGAGAAGCTGTGGCTGCCCCTGGATCCCTGGAAGTGTCCAAGGCCAGGCTGGACGGGGCTTGGAGCAACCTGGGCTAGTGGGAGGTGTCCCTGCCCATGGCAGGGGGTGGGATGAGATGAGTTTAAGGTCCCTTCCAACCCAAACTATTCTGGGATACATGTACATGGAGCATCCCCCACCAGCACCAGCGAGCTCTGCCCAGGCTGCTGAGGGTGCAGCTGCTCCAGGAGCCACAAAGCCCCTGAGCACAGCACACAACCCAGTTAAGACCTGAGTAAGTTCAGGCTTGGGTGGACATCCCCCTTGGGAGGAATAATCCCACATTTGCCTGGAGAAGACCTTATTCCAGGCACCTTATGGACAGTCACTGGCAGGGAAGTTGAGGGGTTTTGGGTGCTGGCTGGGTTATCCCTGTGTGTTTCCAGGGAAGGCTGGGGTGGTCTGTGAGGCAGGGGGGTGGTACCTGACGATGAAGTCGGAGTGGGCGCTCTGCATGATCTGCTTCTCGGAGCGGATGTGCTCCTGCTGCCGCGTGTCCACGATGTGACGCTTCTTCAGGATCTTCATGGCGAATGTCTTCGACTCCTCGCTCTTCAGCTGGACCTTGGGCACAGCAGGGAACAGCAGGCTCAGAAACAGGGCACACAGGAGTGCAGCTGCCTGGGGACCCACCCTACCTCCCAACAACCCCACCACCCAACCTGCCTCACCTCTCAGCCATCAGCTCCGCCTTGGGATGAACCCGGTCTTTCTAAAGACCCAGCCTACTGCTAAACTGAAAAGCCATTCCTAAAACGCCACATTTTTAGGGGGAAGCCAACTGTTGGTCAGGAGATTGTTGCTAGTTAACATCCAGAGCCTTTTTCCACAGCCAATCAGAACTGGCTCTGGCAGGGAACAGCAGTCCTTGGATGTTGGCAGAGGATGAGCAGACCTGGCTTTTCAACAGCACTGCCCGGGCACGACTTTACTTTTAACCTTAAGCCTCCACAGCCTATTTTTAGCCTGACTGCCCTGACGAGGTTGGCAGGGGCTGTTTGCTTGTTTGCTGGTGTAGCCCTGGTAACTCCTGCACCCTGAGCCACTCCCAGGGACAGGTACCTCTCCCAGAGCTGGCTGGATGGTGGCCAACCCTCCAAAGGAGAAAGGAACCTCATCACTGACCTACCAGGCCTCCTAATTTGCTGAATTCCCCCGACAGCCACTCACAGTAACGTTGCCAGTTAAATGCTTTTCCCCCCTTATAGTAAGAGGTGCCATCTGGCAACTTCTATTTTGGTTTCCTTGTCAGAATTTGGCTTCTGCCAGCAGGGAAGCAGCTTGTCTGTCACTGATTCCCACCAGAAACCCAACCTGCCTTTTAGGTTAGGAGACAACAGTCATGCAATCCCAGTTTATTTAGTATAATATCTGTTTTTACGTAGTTTTGGTAAGAGAAATGTGGGTTATAAGAGACGTGGCACCTTCACAGGATCACGGGATGTCCTCGGTTGGAAGGACCCCCAGGGATCATCCAATCCAACTCCTGGTCCTGCCCAGGACACCCCAACAATCCCACCCTGTGCCTGAGGGCGTTGTCCAAACCTGCCACCACCCTTTTCCCAGCCCTCCCACCATAACCCTGAACAGTGTCTGATTCATCTCCTTTGTCCACATCACGGGGCAGGGAAAACACAATTCCCTCAGCATTCCCTCTTTGGCAGAGATCCACCTGGGACCCTGATGTCCACAGGGACACCCAGAGCTTAAGGAAACCAACCCCAAAAGGTTGGTTCTCAGGTGGCAAAGACAATTCCACCACCCTAATAAACAAGAATCCATCCATCTATGGCCAAAGTTTTCATCAATAAATTCTTTTTTATCCATATTTATGCACACAAACACATATATACGTACATACTGAAGCCAGATTTTTGGCTCCTGGTTTTCCCACAGCCACAAGCATTTCCAAGCCCACGTGAAACTTCCCTTTTCACACTCCTAATCATCATCTTTGCCTGGAAGCCCAGGTTTGCCATTTCATCTTCAGGGAGATGAGGCACAAAGACCTAAACAATCCACACAAAGTAAACCAAAACATTTTCCCTCATCTCTGCTGCCCTGGTATTTATTGAGCTGGGGCAACCATGGCTCAAAGCAGAAAAATTCTGCATTTATGGCCAACTGAAAGTGATAAAAGGATTTTTGATTTGGGGTTAGGGTTTGGGTTTTATATATTTTTTTTATATTTCATTTTGAACAAATGACACATGGACTTTATTTGAACTGTTGGAACGAAATGGTTTGATATTTTCCCATCTAAAACAAACCAGGGAGGTGACACATGGGGGATGAAAATTAAGGTAAACTCTGGGCTGAGAAGAATTTACCAAAACTTGCAAAAAAAAAAAGAAGGTTTAGCAGGACTAAGCATTTACTTCTGGAGAACTCACCCCTCTTGCTCTCGATGGCAATCCGGATTTCTTGGCTTCCCATCAGACCTTCCATGTGCTGATGGACAAGCACTATCAGCTGCCACCCAAATTATTCCACCCCAAAATCCATGCAAATCCCTCTTAGATACTCCAGGGCAGATTTGTTCTCTTCCAGCCCGTATTTTTTAACATCAGCTTGGCCACAGACAAATAACAACCAACAGTGGAACCAAGAAAGCAGCTCCAGCAGCAAAAATGAACATTTCTTGGTTGATTTGGACACGACACATAAAAACCCACTCTGAACTTTTTGAAACACAAATTCCTATTTTTCCTAATGTTAATCAGTGTAAAAAATAAACACCAAAACCTGGTGGAGGCTCAGATGAATAAATTCCAAAATTAGAGAATAAAGGGTGCTATGAATAAACCCCTTCTGTTATTTAATTCTATGGATTCTGACTACCTAATTTTTGTGAAAAGGGCTATTTCTTTCATTTCATTACTATTTTTTTTCAGGGATAGAGAGTTTGGGGAAATAACCAGCTTTCACACACAGCTTTAAAGTAAGTCCAGGGAAGGAAATTTCCATGAGGAAGTAGCAGGCAGTGGTTTTGTTTGGTGTTTGATGATGTTACCACTGCCACAAATGTTTAAATATAGAACAGCCAGGCAGCTGCAATTAGCTAATGCAAGACTCTGACCTAATGCCACTGGAGAATTTAGATCCATTTTCCATTCCCACTCCTTCAGAAGGCAGAGGGTTTGCTGGAATTCGAGACTGTGGGGGGGCTTAATTTGCATTAAACTTCTAAAGGCACCAAAACAAGCTGGCCAGGTACGGAATTTAAGACTCAAATTTAGGATTGTCCACCTGGAAAATGAGCCCTGTAGTCTTCTACTTCTCCAGCACTCCTGAGTCCTCTCCCTGCTTTGGTGTTTCTGCCAAATGAGGTGACTGTGAGGACTATTTTTATGATGCAAATCTGGGGAACTCCAGACCATTTCTGTCATTCTTACAAAGAATAGCTTTTAATATTAAGCTTGTGTTAGTTGATACAAAAAACCCCCTCCATGTCTAGCCTCAATCTCAGTTCAGAATTATCTAGGAGTAATCTGGACTTTTTATTTTAAAAAAGCCCAACCAAACAGGACTGACCTTGAGCAGATGAGAACGGGCTGGTAAGAACAGCCTGTCCTTTGACTATGAGGAGAAAACCAGCCCACAGAATCCACAAGGACTTTGGGGCTCGGCTCAGTTGGGCAGCAAGCTCAGCCTCCCAAAGAAACCCACCACAAGCCCCCAGAACCCTGCAGGAGATGGCCAAGTGTGCTGTTTTCCATGGGGAAAGGAGAGGAGCCACCCTCGCTGCCCAGCTCAGCTCTCACTCATGGGAAGCAGCATCTCAGGGCTGAAAGGCCCCGGGACTATTGATCCATTGGAGACCTGCTGGAGCCTTGGATTGCCACGGCTCTGCTGCAGCAGCAGCTCAGTCCCCAAAGGGATGGACACAGGGAAACACCAGCTCTCCCCAGCTTTGGTTTTTGCAAGTTAGAAGAATTTCTGGTCCCTTCCCTCCCCCTTTTCTTACTCCTCTCCTCACACTGACCTTCCCCAGTCCTTGTCCTTTCACCAAACTTCTCCAAAACTATCTCTCCTGGAGCTTCCTCATCCACCATCCCATCATTTCCAGCACAATATTCCCCAAAATAGTGACCCCTGGTAAATCTGTAGTTGAATCTACTTGAGCTCTTGCCCTCTCTGTTAAAAATGACCCCCCTAGAGGAGTATACAAACCCTTTCTGATGTGAAATAGGAATATATTTTCGCTCCCAAACACAAGAAAATCCAATAAATAGGGAGTGTAGTTAAAGTCAAAACACCATCTTAAATAGGTGATGTCCAAAACCAGAGAAGGGGTCAAATTATTTAGATTGGGTCATTCTGCAGGATTCTAATGCAGGCAATGAACTGCATCCCAGTGGAAAAACAACAGCAGGAATGTTACTTGCAACTAAACAAGACAATTGTAGAAGGAAAATAGAATTGTTTCTCTTTTGCCCAAAGATATAAAATTAATACAAAACATATATTTTATATATACGTTTATATGTTATATATTATGTTATATATTGTTACATATTATGTTATATATTATGTTATTTACGTATATGTTTATATGTTATATATTTTCTATATAAAATAAAAATATTTTATATATATATATAGACATATATATATGTAGTAGAAGGTGTCCCTGTCCATGGCAGGGAGTTGGAATGAGATGTTCTCAAAAGTCCCATCCAACCAAAACCATTCCATGATTCTATGACAAAGACAAGTGAAAAAGGAGAGATCCAACCTCTCTGCTTTTCCATGTCCTTGTTTCACAGGATCAGAGGTGGATTCTCCCAGGCTGGAACCTCTCCAAAAATCATTGCTTTGCTTTATGGCTATAAAATTCCCCACCTTCCAAAACACACAGAAGCCAAAATCACTCAAGGCCTGATTTTTGTTCGTTTTTAACAGTTATAACTCAGGTACAAATAAATATGGTTTTACACCTTGGTGCTTTTTCAGACTTTCTGGAAAAATGGCCATTGATGAGACAAAATCCAGGCCTCAATGGAAAAAAAAAGAAAAAAAGCTCTGTATGTTCCTTCCCCTTCCTCTTTCCCTGCCCCTGTTTACTATAAATCATAGATGTGTATTACATATGGTCAGCTCTGGTGACAGAGGAACTGAGACAATTCCAACTGACCCTGAGGAACTGGAAGTGTTAATAAATATTTCCCAGAGTGCAGAAAAATCCCCCTCAGAAGGATTTCTTTTCCACGAAGAGGTGCCTGAACCTTCCAGACTATTTACGAGAGCATGGAGCGGCAGGATAAGGGGGAGTGGGTTCCCGCTGTCAGGGGGCAGGGTTAGGTGGGATAGTGGGAAGGAATTCCTGGCTGTGAGGGTGGGGAGGCCCTGGCACAGGTTGCCCAGAGAAGCTGTGGCTGCCCCTGGATCCCTGGAAGTGTCCAAGGCCAGGTTGGACGGGGCTTGGAGCAACCTGGGCTAGTGGGAGGTGTCCCTGCCCATGGCAGGGGGTGGGACTGGATGGTCTTTGAGGTCCCTTCCAATCCAAACCATTTTGGGATTCTGTTCGAGTCTGGACACCCTGCTCACCACAACCTTGCTCA